ATGACAATTCAGCTGTAAGAAGGCAAAATCTGTGTCCTCTCTAGATCTGTCACCCATAACCTGCCATGTAGATTTGCTGGGTTACTCACTGCAGCTATTTATAAAATTGGCCCAGAAGTCTTTTGCATTATCTGTCTGGGCAGCCCAGCTTCTGCTTGTCAAAGGACACCACAGACAGATAACAGGAACTAGACGTGAACAGATGCTGACAAATCAGAAGATGACAGACTTATAAGACATCCCTCTTTTATTAATTGCAGCAATAATCACTGCAAGACCAGCAGAATAAGATTTATTGTGAAAAAAGCCTTTAAAAGGACTTTCAAATACACACCAGCTGCCTATATTAAAGGGGTTAATTGCTGCACTGTGTCAGCCCATTACAAAGAAAAAGCTACAGTGGTTTTGTTTTCTTAAGGTTTTCAAGATATATGATTTTATTGCTTCCATATGTAACCACTTTAGTAGCAAATTAAGTGAAAAATTACTGTCCCAAAAAAGTTCTTCAGGTTCTTTTTCAATATAGAAATAATTCACAGTAAGAATCAGCTCTCTGTCTTAAATTAAAACTTTTTTTTAAACTCGAGGTGGGGAAACATACTATATAATATACAGATGATGTATTATAGAATTGTACAATTGAAACCTATATAATTCTATTAACTGATGTTGCCCCAATAAATTCAATAAAAAATAAAAATTAATTAATTAATGATATTTTGTAAACAGTTAACTTCCACTCAAACAGCTGCAAATTTTAAATGAGTGGAGGGCAATGTATTGCATTAGTTATGAGCACGGGCCCTGGGCTGGCCAGATTCAAGGCCCACTCCATCATTATTAGCTTTGTGACCCTGGGCAAATTACTTAACCTTTCTGTACCTCCACTTCCTATCTGTAAAATATGGATGACAATATGCTTATCTCTTAGCATTGTCATAAGGATTAAATCATAAGGATTAAACGATTTATATTTTAAGTGATTAGAATATAATCTGACACAAAGTAAGCACTAGGTAATGCTTAATATTACTATATAAGCAAATGAAGTTGTATAGTTGTAATACTTTATGTAGTATTCTTTAAAAAATGATTTCAGCCATGGTTATAACTTTACATGTTTAGAACCAGCCCAAGGCAACTAGAATTCACAAAATATTCCATTTGCTACACAAAGAGCTTTAAAAATGTTGTAACTCTTTTATTTCTGGCTCAGTCCGTCCTGAACATGGTCACTGAAAAACAAAATCAAACTGCCCAGTGAGAGTTACTCACCCAGCGACTCAAGGGTGAGATCTCATGAAACAGGAAAGACTCTAACAGCAGCACCAAGTATAAAGTCAAACCATCAGAGAGAGCATTTCTCAAGAATAAAGGGAGGATTTCAGAAACCGCCGTGTTCTAACACGAAGACGTGGACGCGGGCCAGGCTCTCGCTGCACGGCGCCTAGGGGATGAGCAGTGACTCTGAGGGGATCCCCAGCTCGCCCCCCATTATTCTCAGTGCTTTGTAATGTGATCTCTGGAACTCTACCGGGCTCCCGAAGCAGCAGCTTCCATCAGCCCTTGCCTGCTGCACTAGAGGCTCTAGTTAGGCCACCACGGAAAGTAAGTGTATTTCGCCCACAGAATGAAGGGAAATCGGTACCAGCAAGGGGGGAGAGGAGGCCGCAGGTGCCTTTTCTCTGACATGTACAGCTACCCCAAACCCGGCAGGA